GCATTCAGGAGACCGTGCTGGACCAGTCGGGGGAAGCAGGGGCCCATCAATGGACTCGTACTTGCTCTCGGAAGCTGGCGCTGGGCTCTGCAAGGCGCACAGGAGAATCGGCCAGATCTCTCTCTGCTGGAGTTGGCTTGTCGGCGGCCATGAGCATCGGGGTGTCCAAGCTCCAGGTGCCTGAGAAGTGGCAGCATCGGGTGGTGATGAGGCTCATGACGGTAGGCGCTCACTCGTGGATCATCATCGGCTCGGTCTATGGCGTCGACTCGATCGGCCCCAAGGGCGAGAACCTGGAGCTACTGGAGTTCCTCAGCGCTTTCCTGGGGGCGCAGCGTTTCCCGTTCCTGCTGGGAGGCGACTGGAACCTGGAACCTGAGGAGATCATGGAGCTGGGCTGGCTGGACCTGGTAGCCGCCACCGTTTTCGCACCTGGTTGCCCAACCTGCAATGGCAAAGAGTATGACTACTTCATTGGCTCCCAGGCTCTGGACGCCTTCCCCATGTCGGTAAAGGCCAGGGTGGACACGCCGATCTCGCCACATTGCTACGTGGAGATCAAGCTGGAGGGCTTCAGTGACGAGCCCTTTGTCTGGGTGGAGGCGCCCCCGCGAGCCTTTCCGCTGGCCGACCAGGAGGCCAAGAGGAGGGTCAGGAAGAAGGCCAGGGGCGCCAAGGAGACCGTCCTCACCCCGACCACGGAGCTGCCTGCAGTACCTGTGCTTGACGAGTGGAATCTGGATGCCCCTGTGAGCTCGGTCGAGGATGCGGCAGCGATGTGGTTCAAAGCGGCGGAGAAGTACCTTGTGCAGTTGTTCGAGATTCCGATCTCGGACAGGAGATTCTTCATTGGCAGGGAGAAGGGCGTGGTACTCAAGAAGAAGAGGCTGGTGGATTGTGCGAAATCTATTCTCGAGCGCCACGACGAGACGGACACTAGAGCCTGGTTGAGTGCCCTCAGGCTATGGGATGCCTTATGTGTTGCATCATCAGCTCCGCCTGGGTCGAAGGCAGGCAGACCAGAGCACTCCGAGAGGTGCGAAAGGCAGTTGCTGGCTTTGAGGCTACCTGAGGCCATATCGGAGTCCCCCTCCCTGCAGGCTAAGGAGGTCCAGAAGTGGGTAGCTCTGGCAAAGAGAGGAGGTCAATTGGCTGCCTGGTTTTGGGCGGTGCTTGCGGAGGAGGTGGAAGTGCGCAGGCGCAAAGACTCACAGGCCAGGAGTAAAGCTTGGAGGGAGTTTGGTGAACTTGCAGCTCAGGGCTCGGGAAGGATAGCGCACGCGATCTCCAGGCCCAAGATGTTAGAGGAGGCGCCCACGCTGGCAAAAGGTAAGCCCCACGGTCTGGTGGGAGCTGCGGCGATCACGGCGGTGCTGGAGGAATGGGAAGAGCTGTGGACCTCTGACGATAGGGCCCAGGAGGCAGCGCCGTCTGGTTGGAGTTACCCGTGGAAGCTTGACCCGATCTCGGAGGACCAGATCGTCAAGGTATGCCGCTCCTTTGGCATTTCTACTGGGCTTGGCTGGGACAACTTTCACATGAGGCTGGTTACCTTTCTGGATGGGGTGTTTGTGCGGAGACTACAGGAGATTATCTCCAGTTGGGAACGCAATCCGCACTGTGAGCGCATGTGGGTCACGATCAATGTTTTTCTGCCCAAACCTGGTGGCGGCACACGGCCGATTGGGCTTTTGTGTTTCTGGGCACGCATTTGGAGCAGATGCAGAAGGCAGTATGTTAAGAATTGGGAGGCATCTGTGGACGCGAAGTTCTTCTGGGGAAAAGATGCCACGACCAGTTGCGACAAGGCGGCGTACTTGCACAACATGCTGGCCTGTTGCGCCAGAAGGAAGAAGCTGTCGGCCATTACGGTGTTCTATGACATCCGCAAGTTCTACGAGAATGTCAGTCATCAGCAGCTGCGTGAGGCAGCAGAGCACTACGATTTCGACGGCGCCCTGCTGAAGGCGCTCTGCTGCCTGTATCGGGCACCACGTCGGGCGCGCTGGACAGGTGGCACGAGCAGAGTCAGTCACCCGAATGGTACGATCGTGGCTGGATGCAGTGCGGCAACGGGAGTGGCGAAGCTGATGACTTTGTGCCTCCTCAAGCGCCTGGCTGAGGAAACGCCTCCGTGTCGTGCTCTGAATGTGGTCGATGATTTGACGACGCATATCATCGGAGGCCCCAGGACGGTGATTGAGAACACGGTCAAGAGTTTCGAGATCGTCACAGCTGAACTGGACTCGAGGAAGTCGCCGATCAATTGGGACAAGACTAGATTCATGATGTCAGATCAGTCTCAGCTGCCTGCATTGGTACAGGACCCCAGGTGGAAGCTATCGGACGACAAGCTGGTCATCGCCCACCGTGACCTCGGCGGCGACTCGCTGGACGGCAGGGCGAGGCGGGTCGGCACGCAGGCATCGAGATGTGACGCTGCCCGCAGCACCGCAAGCGCCCTTCGTCAACTGGGGCAAAGTGAAAAGCACAGTAGAGTTTTTCGTGTGGGAGCGCTGGCTAAAGCTGCGTGGGGGTCCCACATTTTGGGGATCCCGCCGACCACCCTCCATAAGCTCAGGGTCCAAGCCGCGAGATCCTGGGGCCCTCTTCTTCCTGGTACCTCCCTGGGCTTCAGGTTTCTTTCGGCTGCCCGCCTTTGGCTCAGGGACCCGCTTTTGGTGGCTGTGTCGTCGGCTGTAAAGGAATTCGTCAGTGTCTGGTGGGCCCGCTCGGTTTCGAAACCAGTATTTGAGGCATGTGTCCAGGACGCCATAGCGGTCCAGGGGAGCAGGGCCCCCTGGGGCCAAGTCCGCCAGCCTGTTGCTGCGCTTTTCCTGCAGCTGGCTCGGATCCGCTGGAGTTTCGACCTGTCTCGAATGGCCCTGGTGGATGACCTCAACCGTGTGTGGTCTATTGATCGTTTTTCGCCCAGGTTTTTCACCCTTCTCCTGCGTGGCTCGGTCGTCAGGACTATTGAGCGGGAGGAGCAGTTGAAACAGTTCGATTTCGGTATGTGGAGCGGCCCTGTCTTCTGGCAGCCCATTCATCAGCTCCTAGGGCGGAAGTGTTCAGAGTCGTGGACAAAGTCGCATAAGGCAGCCCTGTCAGCTTTGTGTGCGAATGTGTACTGGTGCCAGCACAGAGTGTGCGAGCACAGTCCAGAGGCCCCTGACCAATGCCAGCTTTGTGGAGATGGTAGGGGCACTTTGTACCATCGCAGGTTTCAGTGTGTTGCCTTCGCTCCCTGGCGACGCGAGAACCTGGATCCTGTGGTTGAGAGGGCGGCTCGTGCGGTTGGCCATCTCCCCACTTCGGCTGGAGAACTGTTTAGCAGAGGTCTCTTCCCCAACCCTGCGGCCTGGGTGGAGCGACCCCCCCGCGACCCGCAGGACCCGTGCACCAGGCACTTTCAGTGGCCTCAAGACGGCCCCCTTTTCATTCCTGAGGGGGCCCATGTGTTCACGGACGGGTCGGGTTTTGAAGGGGAGCTCACAGGACTCGGGACCGCGGGGTGGGCTGTTGTGGTGCTGGACAGGCTCGGGAGGACCCTTGCAGCCCTGTTTGGCGTCGTGCCGTTCGGGGAAGCGCCTGGACAGCAAGCACGGGATGGCGAGGATTTCGCTGTTCTGATGCTCTCCCGCCGCTCGGTCCTCGCCTCAGGGGTCTCGCTTCATGTGGACTGTGCGGCCACGGTCGGCTGCCTCCGAAATCTCTCGGGGGCTGCTGGAGCGGCCTCGGCCCGAGCCCACTGGTGGGCTGAGATTGGGGACCGTTTAGAGGGCTTGGCGGTGCATCAGATCCCGTCTCACTCGTCAATGTTGGATGTCAGGGACGGCCGTATCACGGAAATGCAGCGTTTCGGGAACTCGGAGGCGGACAGACTCGCCAAGGAAGGAGCTGAACCATTCCGAGTGTCGCGCGAGGACCGCCAGTTTGTCACTGGATATGCTGAGTTCGTCCGACGTGTAGGGCTGTACAGTGCCAGGCAGCAGGTGGAATGCAGAAATTTAGCCCTGAACGATCATCAAGGGCTGGAATGGCTCAGCTACGTCCTCCTGGACGCGGTCCCTGGCCTCCCCTTTCCTGGTTCGGACCCTGGGGAGGGTGAGCCAAGTGCGCAGTGCGAGGTGCCTCTGGGTGCGCCAGGTGCGGGGGAGGTCCCTGGTGTCACCCCTGGTGCGAACTCTGGCGAGCCGCCTCCTGGGAACCCCCCGACCCCGACCCCAGGAGCATGGCTCCAACTGGGACACTCCCTTGAACAGGGGGTGGTTTATGAGTCGGATGGCTGCACGTATCACGATACTATGCTGTGCTGCACGGCGTGTGGTGCTATGGCACATTCCAGCACGAAACGGGGGAATCTTCGGTGGAGGTGTCGTCCTGTCGCGTCGTGGGGACGGGGGTTCTACCTTGACCGATTTCGTGCTGGACGGTATCCTGCCCATCGGAATCCTCGAGGGCTCACGATGGCGTACACGGGGGCCCCCTCTCCTGAGGTTCGCTCGGAGTGGAGGCCCTACTTTGAGGCCTGGGCCCTGGGCCGCGACCGCCCCCCGAGAGTTGCTCGGGGGACCCAGCCCTCGCGCGGCGAGGGTCCCGCCGCCGACCGTGGGCGAGGACTCGCCCTGCTCGGTCTGTCGAGGGCGGAGGTCGTGGAGCTAGGGGCCGAGGTGGAGGCCAGGCGCCGCAGGGGTGAACTCCCCATGGAGGAGGAGGACCTCTTCGGCTGCCTCGGCCCCTCCTAACTCGTTTGTTTTTGTTGCACGTGAATTGGGTCACTCCCTTCGTGGTCGTGGGCGCCCCCCTCCTAACCTGTTTCTTCTCATTTCGTCCCCTCTTCTGTTTCTTCTTTCTCCGTCCACTCTTCTGCTTCTTCTCCATCCGCCCGCCTTCCCTCGCCCTCACCGACGCCATGTGCTTCGCTTGCTGGAGCCCCCGGCCAAGGGAGAGCTGCCGTTGTCGTCGGTCGCCCCTCTCGCCCCGCCTTGCGCCCGAAGGTGCGCGCCTGGTTCTCCGACGTGGACGCGGGGCGCTACGCGCGCGTGCTCGAGGCGCCCACGGGGAGCGCTGGGTCTTGCCGCGCGGAATGAGGGAAGAGGGGACGAATGTGCGAAAAGCAGGAGCAGGGTTAGGTAGAGGGAGGAGGGGGGGAGGCGGGGATTATGGTGGTGATGCTGTTGAAGGTGTTGCTGATGCTGATGATGCTGATGTTGCTGACGAATATGATGATGATGATGATGATGATGATGATGATGATGATGATGATGATGATGATGATGATGATGACGATGACGATGACGATGCTGAGGCTGCTGACGCTGGTGATGCTGATGCTGGTGATGCTGGTACTGCTGCTGATGTTGATGATGCTGCTGATGCTGATGCTGATGAAGCTGCTGATGCTGATGCTGATGATGCTGCTGCTCATGATAATGAGGAATATGATGCTGATGATGGTGATGCTGATGATGATGATGATGATGCTGCTGCTGATGATGATGATGATGATGCTGATGCTGATGCTGATGCCGATGCTGATGCTGATGCTGTTCATGATGATTATGATGATGAGGAGGAGAAGGAGGAGGATGAGGAGGAGGAGGAGGAGGGAGAGGAGGAAGGCATCAGCGGGAGGGGAGAAAAGGGGAAAAGGGCGTGAGGACGATACGAAGTTGGAGGGAAGGACGGTACTGTTTGGGGCGCCGTATAGCTAGAGGTAATGAAATGCGTCGTGCGTGCGAATCGCGTAGTAATCGTACTGCAAGTGGTGGTTGCGGTAGTCGTAGTCGGGCCAGCCGTAGTGGTCGTAGCAGTCGCAGTAGTAGCCTCGGGGGGCAGGGGCGCAGAGGAGGCGGCGGAGGAGAAGAAGAGAGCAGCCGAGGAGGAGGAGGAGGAGGAGGAGCAGGAACGCAGGATGTGGCGCGTGGAGAAGATGTTTTTTCCCAACCATCCTGTGGTGTTGGGTCCTCGTTTTGATAGACAGCGCCCCGCGTCTCCTCTTCCTTCCTTCCTTCCTCCTCCCCCTCCTCCCTCCTCTCCTCCTCCCCCTCCTCCCTCCTCCCCCTCCTTGCCTTTGCTCTCGGCACACCTCTCACACGTTTCGTAGCCCCATAGGGAGCTCCACCGAAGGTCCCAGTGGCTGTATCCTGTTGCTGGACATTGAGACGGAAGATCTCAGTAGACTTGTTCTTATCATTCTCAATCGTTTCGCTCACTCCGCTGGCCCGTATTGTGCCACCGCAGGCGTTTGCCTGCGCGTTGGTGGCCTCTTGGAGGCCGTTTAGGGGCCTTTTGGAACCTCTTTCTGGGCCTCTTTGCGGTATTTCTGAGACGTCCTGGACGTCACGGGGGCCTCTTGGGTTCCTATTGGGGTCTCTTGGGGCCTCCCGGGGGCCTCTTGGGAGCGTCTTGGGGGCCTCCTGGAGCCTCGAAAGGACCTCTCTGCGCCTAGAGCTCGACATGTCCGTTCGGGTCCCCCGTCTGGGCCCGGTCTTGGAGCCGTCTTGGGATGATTTATTGTAGCGCTCTTCATTCGAGGATTGAGGTTCGTTGAAGCAGATTGGGGAGTGGGAGGAGTGGAAGAGGGGAAGAGAAGGAGGAAGAGGAAGAGGAGAGGAGGATGCGGAGGATGATGAGGAGGAGAATGAGGATGAGGATGAGGAGGAGGAGGAGGAGGAGGAGGAGGAGGAGGAGGAGAAGGAAGAGGGGAGGATAAGGACGATGATGAGGAGGAGGCCTCTCGATTCCTGTCTTGATGACTTATTGTAGCGCTTTTCGTTCGAGCATTTGGGGTCGCTGACGCAGATGGGGAAGAAGGAGGAGAGGGAAGAACGAAGGAAGGGTTGGTGAGACGATAGGAGGCCTCTCGGGGGCCTCGGGGCTCTTGGGGACCTCTTGGAGGTCTCTTGGGGCCTCTCGGGGGCCTCCTGGGGGCTTCTTCAAGGTTTCTCGAGGCCTCGAAGGGACCTCTCTGCGCCTAGAGCTCGACATGTCCGCTCGGGTCCCTCGCCTGGGCCCGCTCTCGGAGCCGCCCCAGGGGCCTCTTCGGCCATCTTGGAAGCCCCTGGGGCTGTCTTGGGGCCCTCTGGGGCCGTTTTCGGCGCTCTTGGAGGTCTCTTGGGCCATGTTGGGGCGATCCTGGAAGCCTCTAGGGCCGTCTTGGAGCGCCAGTAAACCCAAGGCGAGAACGCCAAAAAGCTTCAAACACTTCAGGGAAAACGCTAATTTCTGTCTCTGTGGGCTCTCTTGGGAGGTCTCTTGGGGCCTTTTGGGGGTCTCTTGGGGCCTCTCGGGGGCCTCTGAAAGCTTCTTGGGGCCCTCTAGGACCGGCACGTAACACGCGTGACCCCCCCCCCCAGGAAAAAAAACTGCCTCCTCTCTCTACAGCGGTACTTGGCACGCGATGCGAGACAACATAAATAATCATAGTATCAGTTCTTCACGCTCCGCCTATCCCCACCAGCCCGTTCCGAAACCTTGCCCATGACAAATTAGCGGGAGAATGGGCGAAAACACACAGCGGGCAACCAGGATGAACAGAGAGACCTCTGAAGGCAAGGGGGTGGCCTTAGAGCGCCTCTTCGGGCCGCGGAGGAGGAGGAGGAGGAGGAGGAGGAGGAGGAGGAGGAGGAGGAGGAGAAGGAGGATGGGGAAGAGGAGGAAGAGGAGGAGGAAGGGGGGGAGGAGGAGACGGAGGAGGAGGAGGAGGAGGAAGAGGAGGAGGAGGAGGAGGAGGAGGAGGAGGAGGAGGAGAAGGAGTTGGAGGAGGAGGAGGAGGACGAGGAGGAAGAGGAGGAGGAGGAGGAGGAGGAGGAGGAGGAGGAGGAGGAGGAGGAGGAGGAGGAGGATGAGACACACTGCATCTTGGGGCCATCGTGGGACGCTTTTGGGGCGCTCTGGGGCGCTCTTGGGGCCGTCTTGGGGCCCTCTTGGGGCCCTTTGGGGTCGTTTTGGGGCACTCTTGGGGCCCTCTTGGGGGCCCTGTAAGGCCTCTTCAGGCCATATTGTAGGGCGTCTATCAAATGAGGAGGCTCCTGGGTTTGCCTCCCCCACTCGGGCCTTCAAAATCGCTTCGTGGGCCTTTCTCGAGGCGCTCTTGGGGCGCTTTGGGGGCGCTCTTGGGCGCTCTCGGGGTCGTCTCGAGAACTTTTGGGCCCTTCTTGCGTCTCTCTTGGGTCATATTGCGGTCATCTTGAGGCCCCAGAAGCGCATCGGAAGCGAAAGTGCGAGAATGCACACATCATGGATGTTCCTTAGGTGATTCGTGGATTTGGGTCTCTTGGGGAGGTCCGAGGGGGGCTCCGAGAGCACTTGAAACCATCTTGTGGCCCGCCTAGGGCCTCTTGGAGGCATGTTGGAAGCAATCTTGAGCCATCTTCGGCTGTTTTGAGCCTTCAGAGAGGCCATCTTGGAGCATGGGGCGCCCTCTTGGAGTCATCTCGGACCATTTGGGGCGCCCTGACCGCTTGCGAAACTTGTCAAAAACCTCAGGGAGGGGAGGGGGGATAACCCTCCCCGAAAGGAAGAGTGGTTTTGGAGGGGGACAGGACAACGTCGTTGGACCACCTACGCCCAGAGAACTGGTGGAATTTACGCGTTGAAGTTGTAGAGTCTTGTAGTGTGATGCTCAGTCTGGCGCGGCGCTTTTGTACACCGTATCGTTTATGTACACCATCGAATGCTTGCGCACCTTGAGAGCTCCAAGAAAACCCAATACAACCAGAACATGCCAGAATGGCGCCACGTTCTCGACGTCAGTCGCCGCTTCCACATGAACGTGGAGCTGCTCCTGGAAGGCCTCCCGCTCGCAAGCCGCCGTCGTGATGATGCCGCCATCCTCCTAACACTGCACGTTCGCAGTGTGCCGCTCCGCCTCCTGTGCACCCACTGGCAGTGGCCCCTCCACGCGGCCCGTGCTGCATCGGCCTCCTTGTCGTGCCCTGCGCCGCCCACGCCCCCTGACAGCTGCGCCGCCGCTAAGTCGACCTCCGTGGGCTCTGCGCACGCTTCCGCGGCGTCCGTCGGCACCGGCCTCACGGGCGCCACGCGCAGCGCCTCCACTGGCGCCCTGCAAGGCTCTCGACGTCTGCCGCCGCCTCCTGGAGGCCGCGTGGAACGCGCGCTGGCACTCAACGCGGCGCCGGGCCGAGCCCGCGCGCGGCCGGAGGTGGCGGTTGCACGGCCCAATAGGGCCTCGGCCAACAGCCCATGCGCATTGGCGAGGGATGCAGCCCCGCCCGCCTGGAGGAGCTGCGCCACGCCCAGTGCCTCTCCCACGCCTGGAGGGTTCGCGCCCTGCGCGTCCCTCCGCCCCCTCTTCCCTTCCCGTCTCCCAGCCCTTACCGCCCCGGGGCCAGGCCCTACCGTCCAACTTCACGGGCCAGATGCTCATGCGGGTCACGGAGACCAGGTTCGTGCAGATGTGTGGAGGCAGGGGCGGCTCTGCTGGCGAGGATGATGAGGATGAGGATGATGAGGATGAGGATGAGGATGGGGATGAGGATGAGAACGTGGATTAGGATTAGGATGATGAGGATGATGAGGATGATGAGGATGATGGAGGATGATGATGATGCTGCTGATGATGCTGATGATGAGGATGATGGTGGTGATGATGATGACGACGACGACGACGGTGGTGCCTATGTTGATGACGATGGTGGTGGCGATGAACATGATGGTTACGTTGGTCATGATGATGACGGTCTCAATCATGACGCTGGCGGCGATGATGATGGTGTTGAAGAGGATGATGAGGAAGTTTGGGCGCGCTGAAAGCTTGAAGTATTATTACTCGAGCCACGCTTCTTCTCACACGCTTTTTTTGTACCACGATCCGGGCGAAGGACAGCCATATGCAGTTGATGGTAACGCAGTTATGAGAATCGTCTTTGGTGGCGCTCCTTATGAGCCACGAAACGCGTGAGGGGTGTGCCGAAATGGGCGGGAGCCGCATGTGGACCCTTCAAATGGGACCTTCGGTGGAGCTCCCCATGGAGCCACGACGCGTTTGAGGTATGTGCCGACATGGGCAGGAAACCTCATGTGGACCCTCCCACTGGGGCCTGCGGCGGCGCTCCCTTAGGGCCACGAATTGTGCGGGGGGGTTGTGTCGAAATTGGCGGGGAGCCACTTGTGGACCCTCCCACTGAAGCCTTTGGAGGAGCTCTCTTTGGGGCCACGAAGCGTGCGAGAGGTGCAGACATGGGCGGGGAGCTGCATGTGGGCCCTCCCGCTGGGGCCTTCGGTGGCGCTCCCCTCGGTGCCACGAAACGTGTGAAGGGTGTGCCGACACAGAGACATGCTGAGGGCAGATGCAGGGACGGGAGGAGGGAGGAGGGAGCGAGAGAAGGAGGAATGAGGAGGAAGGAGACGCGGGGCGCTGTTTCTTCAATTCAGAACGAGGACCCAACACAACAGGGTGGCTGGGAAGTGATTGATTGAGAGTTCACGCAGTCCATTGTGTTGTACCGATGTCCTTCCTAAAGGGGCCTCTTGGGCCGTCCTGGCAGCCATGTTGAAATCCGAACAGGCGAGCCTGCGCGAAACTCACACGACAGTGTCTTGTCGGGGCGGCGGCCCCCCGGGCTTCTGCCGCGGTGGCCGCCGGGAGCGCCCGAGAGATTGGGGCCGCTCTGGGCGGGCTGGCGTCCCAGAGGCCCACGCGGGAAGCGCCAGGAATGCCCGACGGCGTCCAGTAATTCTGGCACGTTGGCGGTACAGTCGGGGCGCTGAAGAAGGAACGCTTTTCGTTGGGGAGGGGCTCGGTGTTCCTTGATTGTTGTGCAGTTTGCCTTGGGGTTTCCTTTCGTCTTCCATGGGGAATCAAAACTTAACTTATGGGAGCAAGTGGCCTTGTTCCTTATTTAGGGTTCCTTAGGTCAACGCCCCGACTGTACGGTAGAGGGAAATAACTACTGAACACCTCCCTTGCCCCCCAATCTCAAAGTTGGCAAGCGCGGGGGAGACTGCGGTCGCGGTGCAGCTCATCAGACCCACTTCCAACTTTGAACACTGGGGGGAGGGGCAGGCGTTCAGAGATGAATGTGGCACGAGTGTTCGCTATTTTTCCGAGGCCTGTATGGGCCCTCAGGAATCCCAGAAGTCCTTCGGTGTTTGTACATATGTGTGGGCCTTCGGGCATTCCGTTGGGTGCTGATGGTGAGCGGCAGCTTTTGCACTACTCAATGCTCGACGGGGCCTGAAAACACTCCACGTCGTGCCTCGCGGGGCGGTGGCGGACATGGTGCATGTGCTCGCAGCATCTGCTTGTGATCATCCCTTAGAACAGATTGTCCTAGACTCTCTAGCTGGGGGGGGGGGGAGTTTGAAGTTCGGTCGTCGTCGCTACTCCATCGGGGAAGGAGACAGGTTGGTGATCATTTCGATCGGGCTTGTGTCGCAACGTGAGCATATCAAAAGCAGGCAGCTCGTGGGTACGGGTTACCAGTGATACTTGGACAGGGGATCGTGTGCACCAGCGATTTTGAGGGGCGGCAGTCACTAGCAGTTGCATCAACATTGCGATGATTAGGTCAGTGATGACGTCTGCGATCGTCCTTTGCCGTAACTGATCAGTGGGTCCTGAATTCCGCCAGCAGCGCCAGACAGCACCAGTGAATGCGCTGATGCTTACTGCAGAGTGAGGCAACGCTCGGCGGGGCCATCACCTGTTCGAGCTGCTGCACCAGGAGGGGGAGACAACGCCAGCATCCGCCACTGTTGCGGCCGCTGCAGCGCTGCAGCTCCACGTCGAATTCACAGAAGAATGCTGGCGACGCTGGTGGTCGTTGTTGTGATGATGGCGACGGATACTGTTTCAGGATGATGTTGTTGCTGCTAAGCGTGCAATTGATGATGTGATTTTTATGCCGATGAAGCAGGCTAAGCATATTTAATGCGACTCGGGTATATGTACATATATGCTTATATGTATACTTACATAGATACACAGATCCGGACTCCAGCGTGCCGGTCACTAGTGGGGTAACGAGAAGAAAGTAACCAATGAAGCTAGTATGTGTGCTAGCGGCAAGACTTGCGTACCAACAATCAAGCACGCCATCAAGAACGCATGCAGACATACACGCAATCAATCGCGCAGTCAAGCACGCAATGATGGAGCATGTAAGACAGTATGCAGGCAATGTGTTTTTCACCGGGCACGCATGTTCCACATGCGAGAGAAGTTAGCCAGAAGCTCAGTGAAGTCAAGCCAGTCTTGGACGTCAGTGGACGCCAAGCCTGGCTCAAGAAGACGACTGGAAGAGAAGCGTAGTTGTGATACAATCTCAGTCTTGTCACGTGCAAGCCTGGTGTCGACCAGCTGCTCAGCACCACAACGTTGAAATATATGCAACGCAACATGATTTTAGAGGGGTGTGCCCCAGTATCTACAGATATTCCGCGCCAGAGAACACGGGCGCTCAAGGTGGTACGCCGAAGATCAGTTGCGCGTGACTTCAGTTCTGTTACTGGATCAGATGCTCAGGCGGGGTGCAGAAGCTGGAGTGCGCCGCAGCCATAAGTATGAAGAACATCGCCGCAGCCGCCGCCGCCGCACTTTAGGATCACGACGCCGCATCTCCGCTGCAGAAGCCAGCAGAGTCAATTTGGAGGCGTACCATTTGTTCCCGCTGTATTGGCCACGTCGTGGGGCGGCCATCATGGCCAGCACGGGTGAAACTGATAATGCTTGCGTTTGAAGTTTCGAGCCTCCTCGAAAGGGTTCTCTTTCTCCCACGTCGGGGCGGCCCAGGGCAAGCGCGACCACGGGCCCAGGGCATCCAGGGGGGGAATGCGTCCAGGGTAACCCCCGCCGGGGTATCCCCAGAGAGGCGCCCGGGGAAACCCTGCAAAACCCCGGGAAGCCGCCCGGGGTAACCCCAGGGTATATTACCCCCGCCAGGCCGCCAGGGCAACCCCAGAGTGCCCCGCCTCGATGCCCGAGTGAGCAACCTGGCCGTTCCGCCAGGGCTATTACCCCGGAGTACCCTGGCGGGGCCGGCACTGGAGTAACCCCAGAGTGCCCCGGCCGGGCCGCTGGGGTACCCCATGGGACCCCGGCGAGGCCGCCGGGGTACTCTGGGGTTCCCCGGCGGGGCCGCTGGGGTAATCCAGATTACCCCGGCGGGGCAAACCCGGAGTACCCCGGCGGGGCCCCCGACCATCCAAGTCACCCTGAAATACTCAGTTTGTCGGGGATTTTGACACGGTGCTTTTTCAGGGCGTCAATTTCTAGAAAAAGACGCCCTGAAGAGGAGGAGGAGGAGGAGGAGGAGGAGTTAAGAGGAGGAGGAGTTAAGAGGAGGAGGAGGAGGAGGAAAAGCAGGAGGAGGAGGAAGAGGAGGAGGAGGAGGAGGAGGAGGGAGAGGGAGAGGGAAAGGAGGAGAAAGATAAGGAGGAGGAGGAGGAGGAGGAGAAGGAGGAGGAGGAGGAGGTACCCTCATCCGATCACATGTTTGTGTTCATTTACATGTTGCGTGGTCTCTGGTATACAGGTGTAGCGTGTGTTGTATCCAGCTGCCTGCGGCAAACCCCGCCACCGCGCGCGGGTTGTGGGTCAGAAGCCTCATGGATGTTGGTCAGGATCTAGTCTATGGACGTTCGGGTGCCTCCTGGAGACAAATGTGAATATTCCTGCGGGATAACTGCTGTTTTTCTTGGTGGCCTCTTGATGGCTTGCCCCTGTGTAGCCTGAGGGCAGAAGGCTCGATTTTTCTGTTCGCGATTCCGCTCTTAGGCTTTTTTTGTCACCGTCTTGGGGCGTTCTTAGGCTGTCTTGGGGCCCTCTTGGGGCCATCTTGGGCTGTCTTGAGGCCCTTCGAAGCAGTAGCAGTAGGAGTATCAGCAGTATTAGCAGCAGCCGTAATAGCACGGCGGCAGCAGTAGCAGCAGTAGCGGCGGTAGTAGCAGCAGTAGTAGCAGTAGCAGCATACATTTCAGTAGCAGTAGCAGCAGCAGCAGCAGCAGCAGTGGAAGCTGCAACAGTGATAGCGGCAGCGGCGGCAACAGCCAGCAGCAGCAACGCAGCAGCAGCAGCAGCAGCAGTCGTTGGCAGGGCTGGCGGAACACGGGCGGAAACCCTATGGATATAGCAGGGCGGACGGTGGAGAATTAGGAGGCATGGGTGGAATGCTTATGGTTTTTGCTTGCCAGGGCGACATTGCCCATCCAAGTCAAGCTTCGCACCTCGACTCAGCCAAGAAAACAAACCACTTATGCAACAACGTCTCTGCCATGCGAGCTGGGTGGCACGAAAGCCCAACTTGTTTCAAGAAGCGTTGCAAATCCTCATCTCCGTAAGTCCACCCAACTTTTGGGTTCAGTCTAGGGGAACTGCACATGTGTTGGAACATATGGAATTTTGGAACCATCTTCCAAGACTTCATATTACCGCGCAGAGCTTCAAGATATAACGCACCGTACATGCTGAGAAGGTTCTTTGCAAGTATAGGTAATTCTCGTCGAGTGGTCACACTCAGGAATCGGCCTTCTGTCTCCACGATGTCGTAAAATCTGACCAGCAATGTCATTATGCCCAAGCGCCTCTTATCATGAATTGAACCTGTATTAAATTGCCTACACAACAGCAAAGCAAATCTGGAGATGTGTCTGGTGTTTGCAGCCTTGGCCTTCAATTTAGGCCAATCTTTTTTCGTTCGGATTCTCTCAAAAGTCAATTCTCCATCAACCTTGAAGCCCGATGCTTTTCCACATTCCTTCAACCTGTTCTGGAGAGAAACCAACTTGTCATGCCAATTTGAACCCTCCAGGTGGTCCCGCATCACTTCGATGAACACGTTGGCAATGCAGTGCGATGCCAAGCCCTGGTCAACGGCATGTAGTACGTCTGGTTGTACTCCTTCCAGCCTGAGTGTTTTTATGATGTACATCGGTGGCAATTCTGTTCCAGCGGCTGTCATGGCAGCCTGGTAGCTCTCGTGGGTTCTCACTGTACCCCTCCAGCCAGCTTCATACCCAAAGTCTGTCCACATCAATCCTGGAGTGCTGTTCGAAGCATTGCAGAATAAACACATGTTCGGCTCCTGATCCCATCTCGGTGCGTTCACAGTCTCGGCATCAGCTAGAAATTCCCAATCACCACGTAAATGTATGAGGGCGGCCTTATATCCACCGATGATTGGACGGCCAGCTTCTGGATGGGGCCGGCCTTTCCAATCAAGATTTGGGATCCTTCCGTCACATAAAGCATTCATACTCCATGCAAACCGTGTCCAGAGAGAAGCCTGAGTTCTGCCAGTTATGTCCGATGATTTGATCGTGGTAAATACCTGGTGAGTCTCTTTCGTCGACCCCTGCCCGAGCAAGCTCGTCCAAGAGATTGTGAGCAGCGACTGGGTCTTGGTAGTAGCAGCCTTGTCCCCATGAACACCGAGCGGAATCGTCTTTCTTCTGTCGATCAGATGTTGAATTCCCGTGTAAACGGGATCGCCTTGCATGCAGCGCCAAAAATCCGAAATCTCTCCAATGTCACCTCTCAATGTTTGGTTGAACCTGTGCTCGTCCTGGACGATGCGCTCGACCATCTTGATCGGGCACATTATTGGATGCGGAGTGCACTCACCCCGAGTAGTAGGGATGCCGATCCATTCCATAAGCGGGTATTGTTTTGGCCAGCCAATTGCCCGTGACATGTCACGAGCTGCATTCCGAACGTCTGATGTGTGAGCGAGCTTTCCCAGCTGTTCTGCGCCTTGTGCGGCAGCCTTGACGCAGTATTCTTGTGCAACGTTTGCCTGGAGCTTGCCCCGTCCCCAGTCTCGCTTGATGGCAGAGCTAAACGGTGTAAAATTGCACTCTTCTGTGGCAGTGCCACCGTGGGCCGAAAGAACTCGTTTTTTCACACCTCCAGCTCGATTCCCCGAAGCGGACGATTGCTTAGAATCAGCATTGATCGCCTCATCAAGGCGTCGCCTAATACCTCCTCTGCGCATGGACATGCCACTAGTTGGAGAAACGAGACAGATGCATACCACAAAGAACACACTTGGCAACTTCATTACTGCGAACGTGCTTCGGCCAAAACGGCACTGGAAGGAAAGGTGATGGATTGGCACGGGAGGGACTTGCAGGGGGGATGACGGTGTTGATGATGATGCTGCTGCTGATGATGATGATGATGGTGATGATGATGGTGATGATGATGATGATGACGATAATGGTGATGATGATGATGATGTTGATGCTGATGATGCTGATGCTGATGCTGCTGCTGATGGTGATGATGATGATGATGATGATGATGATGATGATGATGATGTTGATCTGAATCGTTGCTCTCGCCTTAGCGTTGGTCACTGGACCACGGATCCAAAGAGTAGCCGTCCACAACGTACCAAGATCCCCAAGAACCCCAAGAGTCCCAAGCGTCCCAAGAGTCAAGCATCCCAAGAGTCTCAAGAGCCTTAACAGCCCCACGAATCGAGCATCCCAAGAGTCTCAAGAGCCTTCAGGGTCCCAAGAGTCCCACGAGTCCTAAGAGTGTCCAGAGCCCCAGTAGCCCCGAGAATCCGAAGAGTAGCCCGTCGCACCGATGTTTTCCCTACTGGCGAAGCGCCTGGCGCCCCACAACACGTTGAGTCCAGGAGTGCTTGGCCTGGACCTCTAGCGCATCGTCAGCGCAGCTTCTCTGGGCGGCTAGCTTCTCTGGGCGGCCTGGCCTCATTCTGAAGCGGCACTCCTCTGCGCAGCTAGCTCGTCTTGGCCTTCTTGTTCGACTTCGGGTTGATCTTCGAGTACCATTCGTTGACGGTGTTGAAGTCCGAGAAGATGGGATCCAGCTTCTGTGCCACAGCCATTGCACGAACGTCATCGGCAGTGTCATTGACCACGAGATCCTCCATTACTTTGTAGATAGCCGCCGTTCTGGGAATGAGTTTCTGCGCGTCCTCGTGCACTGCAACTGCGTACTTGTTATCCTTGGTGGTCGTGAGAATCTTCTTGAGCTCCGTCAGCATCTCATTGGTCGAACGCAAGACCTTCCTCGGATCCTTCTTGATAGCCTCCGCCGTCTTCTGGAACTTGCCGAACTCCGACTTCACCTCGACCTTGACTTCGACAGGTGCCAGATCTGTGGAGCCGCTCGAAGTCGCCGACGGTACCCCTGCGATATTCTCCGCGGTGCTCTCGACGTGGTCGAGGATCTCCTTCGCCCTCGCCTCGTCGGTGATCTTCTGCTCGTTGGACAGGTTCTTGTCGTTCGTCTTGGTCTCGCTCTCGCTCCCCCTCCCGAAATAGATCTTGTATTCGGTGAGGAACTCTCCGTGCTTGCCCGTGGCCTGGTCAGCTCGAGTCTCCAATGTGCCGCTGTCGATCTGGGCCTGGCCCTTGTTCGGGCCGAGCCGCTGGTAGATTGTCTCCTTCGACATCCACTCGTGATCTTGGGCAACCTGGCTTTGAACTCGGAGCGAGCGTATCGAGCTGAGCTTGTTCTCTCCCTCGAGCTTCTTCACCTTGTCAGCGAACCAATTAACCAGGAACTCGTTCTTCTTAGCATTGTTCAGATTGTCGTAGGCGGCCTTGGCACCTTGCCCTCGGAGCCAGTAGGACAGGTTGGATCGTTGGCGCTTCATCTCCTCCTCATTTGCGAGAACCTCTTGTGCCTTGGTTAGGTCGCTCTTGGAGACCTCGAACGTGGGAAGGCTAGCCTTTTTTTTCGGTGCCATGGCGTCTGCCTTGCAGAGTTAGCTCAATCGCCTGGGGTACTCCGTGACAGCTCGAGCCAGCACGCTTGCGGGGAATTGGAGCGCCAAACACCTCGAGACAGAATCTGGCAGATTCTGTCATTTTCTGTCTTTTTCTGTTTTTTCCCGGGGTCCTGTAGTGGCAGAAAATGACAGAATTTGACAGAATTAGGCAGAATCTGTTTTTGGGGTTTCGCCTGATACATTCGTTAATTTTGGGCCCTGACAGAATCTGTATTTTTCTGTCGTTTTCTGTTTTTTTCTGTTTTTTTGTAGTGTCCCTGGGTGACAGAATTTTACAGAATTTGACAGATTCTGTCGGATTCTGTCTCTCACGTTCCGCGGGGGCAATGGGCGAAGGCGTGGGGGAGGTGAAGAGGCCAAAGGGTTGGGAGGTGGATTGGGGAGAGACGGAGAGAGAGACACACTGAGGACGAGTGGAAGGGTGGAGAGAGTCAGCAACGGCTCAAGATTATTCCAAGAGATCCCATGAAACCCCCAGAAGGCTCAAAGAGGCCCTGAAGAGGCCCTCAGGAGGCTCAAAAAAGCCGGCCCCAAGAGGCCATCCCGCATAGACCCAGAGAGCCCCAAGAGACACCAAAAGGCCTGACACATGCTAACATCGGTGCCGATGGCGACCGTAACGACGGCAGTTGCGGTGTTATTTTATTTTGTTGTGTTTTTTTTCCCCGAAGGCGAGCGCCTTGAGACAGGAGCTCCTTCATAAGGTTGGGTACGGTGGTCGACCCCTAAAACCGACCATTTTCAGCCCAAAGTGGTCGGTTTTCACTCGTTGGGAACCCAGAGCCCACGAGGAGTCCTTGGGGTCCTTGGGGCCTGGGCGGGCGGCGAATCAGGCAGGCCCGCCCTCCCTCCCTCCCTCCTCCTTCCATGAGAATGAATGACATGCCGATGCTGATGACGATGTGTTCTGCCTCTAGCAGTTGGCAGAAAGGACGCGTTGCAGCCTCTGCCGCTGGACACACAGAGCAAACCGAGCAGCCAAGTTGACTGTGCAAAACGCGCAGCTGCCGAGGACTGGAACTGACAAGCTGCACTCGAGAGATCAGGATATGCACCCGTGAATCATTTCTCCTCTGGATTCTCTGTGGCCTCCCCGTCCGCTGGGCCCTTCTGGTCCTCGTTCTTCTTGGCCTTGGATGGCGGCGGTGGCTCGGGGTCGCTAGCAGAGCGCTTCGGTGGAGGCTTGCTCGGCTCACAGAGGTTCTTGGCATGCGGCTTGAGCTCCTCGTACTTCTCGAGCGCAGCACGCGCCCGAGTGATGACTCCTGCTGGTTCGCAGCCCCACTCGGGCTGACTATCGCCTCCCAGCACGGGATCAATCATGGACAGGAGCTCGGCAATCTCGATGGTGAGGCGTTCGATGTCCTCCATCAAAGGCACGGCGTATTTCGGCTTCCCGTTCGTGTTGAACCACATAGTCCATACAGCCGCGACCGTCTGCATGTCTTCGAGCGTGTCCTTGTGCTGAACCAGCAGACTGAAATCGCAGGTGTCTCCATCCTCCTGCGAATCGATCTCCACAGATTGGCTGGCCATCTCAGGTAAGATGTATGTTCCGATGCACAGGTCGTGAACTCGCAAGGGCCTCTGCAAACACGGCTGCGGGTGGGTGAGTGGAGAAGAGGATGGGCTTATGAGGCCCCCAAGTTTGTTTCCAGGGGGCTTTTGAGAGTGCCCTTGCAAGATCCCGAACAACATCCCTGAGGTTAACTGCCCACACCCCAGGCACGATTGAGACGATCGCAAGCTGGAGGAGCCGCATGGGCTCAAGTAGATGGGTGGAGAGGTGGCAGCAACAGTATAATGGTGGCCTCGAGACTCTTCCGAGGCCGTTCGACTCCCCAATACACCAAAAGTTCTGAAGAGACTCGGCTCCGCCAAGACCTGCAGACGCCCAAGACAGACTGACACCCCGCCAAGGACTGAAGTGCAACTTGCCTGGAGCTCGGGGGCCCAGCGGAGGAAGTGGAAGAGAAGTCAGGAACTTCGGGGCCACGGCTGGACGCGATGATGATGCTGCTGCTGCTGATGATGACGATACTGATGATACTGATGATGATGATGATGATGATGATGATGATGATGACGGTGACGATGATGATGATGATGATGATGGTGGTGGTGGTGATGATGATGATGCTGATGATGATGATGATGATGATGATGATGATGACTGATGATGATGATGATGATGACGATGATGATGATGATGATGATGATGGTGGTGGTGGTGGTGATGATGATGATGATGATGCTGATGATGATGGTGATGGTAGTGGTGATGATGATGATGATGATGCTGCTGATGATGATGATGATGATGATGACGATGGTGTTGCTGATGATGATCACCGCATCTTCTCCTTTTGGCCTCCCGTCTGCCTCACCGAGCCCCACCACTCCCACCCTCTCCCCTCTTCACGCTATCTACTGCTCTTCACACACTTTCGTACTCTTTGCGATGTTTCACCCCCAATGTCCATGCTGATGGTGAAGGTGACGATGCTGATGATGTTTTTTTTTTTTTTTTGCAGAGCGCACCCCGCGCCCGCGCCAGACGCACACCTCTGTCAGAGGTGAACGGGTGTCTACACATCCTGGAGCTCGCTGTGTGCACCAGCAGCCCTCTCTGCCCGCAGCTCAGCGGTCTTCGCCTGGCCCGCCCTCGACGCCATCGTCTTGGCGTACTCGCTGTTCTTGTCGTAGCCCAGCAACGCTAGGCGACGCTTCTCAGCAGCCCAAGCCCTGCTGTGCATCTTGTTGAGGTACTTCTCCCACTCCGTCTTCACGGAGCTCCCGTCGGCCTTGCCGGCCTTGGCCTTGCTGGCCTTGGCCTTGCTGGCCTTGGCCTTGCTGGCCTTGGCCTTGCCCTTGCTGGCTTTGGCTGTCCCCAGGGTCTTGCCCTCCACCTGCACCTGCACGACCTTCGTGCCAGCCAAAGTCGATTCGCCAGCTTTGAAGGCCTTGTTGAGCTTACTCCACTCCTTGGCTGACATGCCCTGCGCGTCGGTGTCAGCGAGAGCCTCCATCTCGCTCAGCTTGAGGTCGCCCTCAGCGTGTACTCCCGACATATGCGGCGTGTGCTGCGTGATGGGGTCCTCTGTGACCGTGATGGTGGCCGTGCTGGTCGTCGTCATGTAAACGTCACGGTAGAGATCAGTATCGGCCATGTTGGTCTTCTTTTTCAGCCGTCTCAGTGGGAGGCATTGGAGAAGGCGGCGCAGCTCAGGATTGTCTCTTCCGACGTCGAGCTTCGCATCGTTCGTCTCGGACTCCGCGTCTGACCCCATCAAGTCGACCACGGGCGCAATGACCCGACGCGGTGATACCATCTGGACGTCGTCGTCGTCGTCGTCGTTGGCATCGTCCTTGCGATCCGTGCCGAGCTTCGGCTTGCGAATGTTGACGATGAGCTTGTCCCAAATCGTCTGGAACTTGTGAGCCCACATCTTCGGGAGCGTCCGATCAGGATTCGACTTGTGGTTCGCGATCTGGGAGATGATGCCTCTGTACGTGTAGGATGCCTTTTCCGCAACCTCGGAACTCAACTCAACGCCCGACGAGGCTGCCCAACTCTTGATGCCAGCCATCATGTTGAGCTGGTGGATGTTCAGGCCGTTGCTGTACTCGAGGAGATGGTTGATCGAGTCAGCGAACTTGGACGCCTTCTCCCACGATGGCGCCCTCTTGAAATCTAGGGAATGAGCATACGGCATGAAATTCTTCGGCTGCATCGCACTTGAGGGTATCATCTCGAGAGATTCCACGATCTTCTCGATGGGTATTTCGGTTGACTGCCGACGGGCCCCGTCTGTCATTGTTGGTCAGTGCGGGCGAGAGGCCTCTCTTCCTAAAAGCTTGAGCCAAAATGGCTACGGACGTGTTCGCAGCCTGCCTGCAAGCGCGCGAAGCGCCAACAGGACAGACCGTCATGCCAGGCTGCGGCCATTCTCATGTTCTTTTGTTTGTTTGTTTGTTTGTTGTTTTGTTTTTCGCCCAGGAAACGTTTTTTTGTCTGTCTGTTTGTTTGTTCTCATGTCGAGGCTGCTGACCTCGCCCAGGAAACGTTTTTTTGTCTGTCTGTTTGTTTGTTCTCATGTCGAGGCTGCTGACCTCGCCCAGGAAACATTGTTTGTTTGTTTGTTTTGTTTGTTCCCCCGATCAATATTGACGAAGACCAAGGGGAGGTAGCCTCAGAGCGAACGGGCCAATCAACAGGCAATAGCTTGCAGACAGGAGGAACCGCCCTGCATCCGTGAAACTGCTTCCAAGACAGACGCCATAACCACGTTCAGTCCGCCGACCCCTACGGGGTGCCTGCCAATGCGTGCGCTTCCATCTGTTCTTTCTCCTTTTGTTGCTGCGCTGGTTTCTTGCCACGGTCTCGTCTTCGCTTTCGTCGTTGTCGTTCTCCTCTGCCTCCTCCTAGTCCTCCTTTTCCTCCTCGTCCCCTCCTTTCCCCTCCTCCTCCTCTTCCTCCTCTCCTTCTCCTCCTCCTCTCCTTCTCCTCCTCCTCCTCTTCCTCCTTCTCCTCCTCTTCCTCATTTTCCTTCCCCTCCTCCTCTTTGTCTTCCTCCTCCTGCTCCTCCTCATCATCATCTTTCTCGTTCTCCTCTTCTTCTTTTCCACCTCCTCTTCTTTCTCCTCATCCAGATCCCGCTTCGCTTCCTCCTTGTCCTTATTCTCCTCCTCCTCCTCCTCCTCCTCCTACCCCTCCCCCTTTTCTCATCTTCCTCATCCGCCTCCTCCCAATCCTCCTCGTCCCGTCCTCGGGCCCTACAAGACATCCATAACCTCGCCACTGCGCGTAGGTTGATGCGTGTATGAGGCACGCTCGCATGATAACGCAAGCGCAAGAACGACAGAGCACAGGCACCCGAGCGCGCATCTGCAAAAGCAGCCGCCCATTTGGACCCCAAAGAAAAAGGCGTCAGGGAGACAAAAACCAAAATCATCGCCGAATGCTTGAATTTTTTGGGGGGGGCGTCTGTTTTTTGGTTACATTTTTAATGATAATGGTCGCATGCGACCAATATCCCAAGAAATCCACCCTAATTTTCTAACTCGGCGTGAATTTAAAGGCGCCGCTCCTGTTTCTTGGTCGACTTGGAAGGTCGGGGTATATACCTGCCCCGGCGGGGCCGCCTGGGTAATCTGGTACCCTGGCGGGGCAGGGTAATCCGGAGTACCCAAGCGAGGCCGCTAGGGTGTAGTCGGGATTCTCCCGGCGGGGCCGCCGGGGTATCCCGGGAGCATCCCGGCCGCCTGCCGCCTGCCTGCCGCTGGCCAGCCATCTCAATGCATTCTGCCACCTCTGTTGCAGACCCCCCCCAGCACGGGTGATTCAGGAGGGAAAGAAACACACAGACACAATTAATCGTCGATTCCCAGGAAAATATAGGAAAATATGGGGAATCTTTTTATTTGTGTGTATTTAATTGTGTGTCCCAGGGCCCCTTCAATTCTGCCACCTTAAATGCAGACCCCCCCCCAGCACGGGCGATGGCACGCCTCCCTTTCGAACATGGAGACCATGCCGCACCACATTACACATCGCCCCATGCCCTGACGAGGTTCTCCATGCCTTCAACCGCGAGCTGGACACATGATTGGCCGAGGCGCGGTCAGCACGACACTACTGGATAGATGCTCAACGGGATGACGAGTACCCAGAGTTAACGTGCATCATCAATCTGAAGTAGCACCTAGCACAGCTTCACCTGGGCATCGACGGTAGGCGCGTTGCAGATGGCACAATGGATGGCACAATGTATGAAAGAGCGCTAGTGGATGCCCCTCTGATAGAAGATGGGGGGGTGCTCGCGTAACCCCCATCCCCCATCCCCCCTCCCTGGGGGTCATTTTCGGACGCCCTCCCTTTCAAACGGCGCGGTGGGGATCCCCTCCACTCCCCCCACTTTGCGCAGGAGAAGAGTTTTGTTGGGGGATCGTCTGTGTGTTAGGCCAGAGGATCGTGAACGGCACAGATTTCCATCGTGAAAGGTTTACACGGGGTGTGCAGAAACAAACTTATGATTTGCATAGGATCGTCAAGGTTGAAGGCTTGAGAAGACGGCGTTGAGATCAGCAGATGTGCATCGCGTAATGTTTTGTTACAAAGGATCGTGAACGGCACATATTTCAATCGTGTAAAGCTTAGATCGGGCGCGTGCAGAAAGCTTGTCATGTGTACAGGATCGTGGAGGTCGAGAGCTTCAGAAGGCGATGTTGAGTTGAGATCAGCAGATGTGCGATTGCGATGTGGAGGAGAGCGTAGTCTTTGAATCGACTTTTGAGGGTTGAAGACCCGAGGAGGCGAGGTTCAGATCAGCAGATGTCGCCGCATGAATTTGTTCCCCAACCCTCCTGCGTTGGGTTCTCGATTTGACTAGCGCACTGCGGTCGCGACCTCCTCCTCCTCCTCCTCCTGCCCCCCTCCGTAACCAGTTTGGTTCAAGATGTCTTTGTCCCTCTGGCGAGAAGCGAGTACCTCTAGTCCGAGGCTGGCTCCCGTCTCAGACAAACCCAGTCGAGCTGCGCGCTGCTGGGGCCCAGAGTCTGCTTCCTTGGACACGATCCCTCGCCTCGCATCCCCATGG